GGGGGAACATGGGCACGGAGTAGGGGAGGGCTGGGAGCACCCATCTCCATTTTGGGCTTCTGGAAATCTAGAAGACAAGCAAAGCCAGGAACTGTGACAGCAGAACGTTTGGTCATTCTGCCTCCTGCGCCTACGCGCACACGTCCAGCCTGCGGGACAGTGACCTGCGTCATCCCACAGCTTGGCCCCTGGCGTCCAGCCCCCTGCAGTTGAGCTCCGCCGCCTGCTTCCGGCCCCTTAATTGGATGAAGTGTGCAGCTGGGCGCCCGAGGAAGGGAAGGTGGGGCTGCCAGGCAGGGAGGAAAATTAACCTTGGCTTCAGCAAGGCCACTGGCTGCTGATTTATTGATTGCCTTGAAATAACAGCCCAATCTAACACAGGCTGGCCGAAAGGCAGATAGTAGTTATTCATAGGATTCCTCGTTTCCTCTTTCCCACATTGCCTGGTCTCGGGCTCTGCCGCCTTTCGTTATTAGATTGCTCAGAAAGCACATTTATTACCTCACTGTTCCCCAGGTGAAGGGGCAGGTGTGGAGGGCTACCTGTGAGATCAGAGTTGGCAGTGTGGTCCCCAAAGGGTCTTCGGAGGAAAGATGTTCCATCATCCCCAGAAGGGCCAAGGCCTAGCAGAGAGTCCAGCCAGGGAGTCCCGAAGCCTGAGTACTTGTCTAGGCCCTTTCCAGCCCTCGGTTTGCTGGGCTGAAGAATGGGCCCTCTTCCTGGTCACCCAGGAGTGTGCTGTGGTTACAGAAGTGGAGGAGTGTGGGCACTGGGCTGGGGTCCGGTGTGCATCCTTGGACACATCCAGTGAGCCCCACGGAAACAGGGGAAAGGCCCCTCTTTTATTATTATTTTTTAAATGTTTGTTTATTTATTTTTGAGAGATTGAGAGAGCAAGAGAGAGAGAACTCACGCACAGGGAAGGGGCAGAGAGAGACGGAGACTTAGAATCCAGAGTTGGCTTGGAGCTGTCAGCACAGAGCCTGAAGCGGGGCTCGAACTCACAAATTTCAAGATCATGACCTGAGCCAAAGTTGGACACTTAACCAACTGAGCCACCCAGACGCTCCAAAAGGCCCCTCCTTTAGAGGTTGAACTCGGGACTCTGCGGTGTCATGCATGGGAGAGTCTGCTAGGGGACATGACATTGACAACCATTCTCGTCTGACCCTAGAGCTCAGATTCAATGAGAATTGAAATTTTTGTAATCAGCTTTATGGAGGTATGGTATATATACTCTGAAATGCACACATTTCAGGTGTACATTTTGAGTTGTGACAAAGGTGTGTGCCTGTGTAAGCACCACTCTGATCAAGGTATAGAACATTTCCTTCCCCACACGCCCTCTCCTCCAGTCCAGCACCCCTACCTTGCTGCAGCACCTAGCTCCCAGCCCCCCAGCCCTCAGTCCCAGCCCCCAGCCCCCCAGCCTTAGCCACCAGTCCCAGCCCCCAGTCTCAGCCCCCAGCCCCCCATCCCAAGCCCCAGCCCCAGCAACCACTACTCTGACTTCTGTCCCTGGAGTGGGTTCCGCCCAGTCTAGAAATGCATGTTAATGGAATTAGGCAGAAGGCACTCTTTTGCATTTGGCTCCTTTTGCTCAGCATATAGTCGATGACAAGTGTCCCTTAGCACGATGGGATGTGCGGATGGCCCACGCTGTGTCTGTGCATCCCATGCGGTGGGTGGTGGGTTTTGGGGGGCAGAGCCATCCCCAGGAGCACAGAATGCCACCTGCTATCACTTCCAGCCTCATTTTACACTTGGACAAACAGCTCCAGAGAGAGAAACTGGCCTCCCCACGCGTGGAGGACACACCGGGCAGGTCTGAGTCCAGCACGTGGTGTTCCTGATTCCCCATCTAGCACTTTCCAGACTGGGCTTGCTGGGAGGGTCACAAGCCCCTCAGGTATAAGTACGTGACACCTTATGTCATTTCTAACAGATTTCAATGTCCTTTTGAAAGCATTATCCCATTGACTAGGAGGGAAAAAATCAATGGCCTTTAAAGCTGTAACTGAAAATCACATACAAGGAGCAAGGTGTGCCAAGGACCGCTGGTCTGGAAAACAGCTGGCTAATTGGAGGCATGGGGAGAGGCCTTCCCTGGACAGAAGGAGCCCAGGGGGCCATTCTGCTGCTCCTCTTTATGGCTGTGTGACTCCCCCGGGGGAGGACTTGGCTTCCTCATAGGTAAATGGACCATATATCACCCACCCCAGGCTTGTTTTGAGGGTTAAGTGAGCTCAAGTAAAAGCACTCAGAATGGTGAGATGCTGACTTCATAGTTATTGTCATTTTTATTACTAGTATCTCTGCATCCCCAGGGTTCTTGGATGGTCACCTGCCCTCCTCGTCCCACGAGAGCTCCCTCTGCCTAGGTGTCCTCTCCACCCTTGTGGCTTGAGTCTGGAGTTCATGTTTGATGCCAGGCTCCTTCCTCTGGTCAAGGACCCTTGCATCCACTTCTCTGCTGGGCAGTCACTCTGAAAGGGCTTCTCTTTACCCTTGGCTGTACCCCTTGGTCGGCTGCTTTGGAGGGTGACCGTGTCAGAAGGCACCCTGTGTAGGCCACACAACCTGTCTTGAAGTCTGACCACCCCAGACACCCTCCAGATTTAGCGCAAGTCTGCCTGGCTGGTTTTTGTGCTATGGGATCAGGGACACAGATGGAAACTCTCTCTGTGTTATCTTGGTGACTTGGAGCTTCCTGAGGGCAGGCCTGGTGGTTTACTGATTTTTTGAGCCTCAGCTGTACTTGGTGCAGTGCTGAGGACACATCAGTTGGTTGAACTGGGTTGAATCCTACAAGGCAAAGTGGTTTGTCAACACAAAAGGCTTTTGTGCATAAAAGGACATTATAAAGCAAGTGAGCGCTCTACAGAATGGAAGAAAATACTTGTGAATCATATGTCTGCTAAAGGGCTGGTATCCAGAATATATAAAGAGCTCGTACAGGTCATGAACAAAAGGATAATCAACCCAATAGAAAGAATGGCAAAGGACTTGCATAGACTTTTCTCCAAAGAAGACACACAGATGGCCCGTGGGTGTTCAATGTCATCATTGTTTGGGGGGATTTCAGATGAGGTGACTTGCCACTTCACAGCCACTAGGGTGGCCACAATGTTTGAAAATGGAAAATAACAAGTGTTGGTGAGAACGTGGAGAAATCGGAACCCTTACACACTGCTGGAGGGAATGGAAAATGGTGCAGCCGCCGTGGAAGACAGTCTGGAAGATCATCAGTGAGTTAGAAATAGATTTGCCCTATGACCCAGCAATTCCACTCCCATATGTACACTCAGGAGAAGTGAAAACGCATGTCAGTGCAAGCTACTACACGGATGTTCACAGCAGTATTATCCATGGGGGCCAAAGGGCAGAAACAACCGAGATGTCCATCACCTCCTGACTAGATGAACAGTGTGGCCTCTCCACAGGAGCGGATATCATTCGGCCACAGAGTCACATGCTGCAACGTGGGTGAACCTCGAGGACACTGTGCTAAGTGAAGTCAGCCAGACACAAAAGGTCACAAGGTTCTGTTTATATGAAACTTCCAGAAGAGGTAAATCCACAGATACAGAAAGGAGATTCGTGGTGTCCAGGGGCTGGGGAAGGGGGTGCAGAGTGACAGCTAATGGATTCAGGGTCTCAGTGTGGGAGGATGGAAGTGTTGTGAATTAGACCCCGGTGATGGTGGTGCCACGGAAAAACACTTGGAATTTTAGCTCAGAAAATGTTTTTAAAAACCTCGAAATGGCCATGGGAAGTAGGAAGTCTGACCCTGAGCGCCTCCCCCGCCCCCACCGCCTGCAGGCCACTGGGTGGTATATTCACAGCCCCTTGAATGCTGGATCCTTCCTTTCCAGTGAGGCCTGAGCTTCCCATGGGGTCAGCAGAGGCCGCCTGCCTGGAGCCGGACAAAGGGTTTGTTTACCTTCCGGGAGAATTGAGCAGTGATAGCAACAGATCTGCAATTGAGGGGAAGGCCCAGAAGCCACCTCACTTACCTCTTTCCCGTAAACTCCAGCCTATACCCTCTCCCTCCAATCGTCTACCTCCCAGGAGATCTGAGGGCGGGAGCCACCTTCTCTAGGGAGAGAGGCAGAGAGTCAGTGGCCTTCAGCTGCTAGTCACTCTCTCACTGATTAATTGCCGGGAAAGAGATTTGTTTGGGAAGTGGAGCTGGGGAGCAGACAGAATCATTGCTGAGGCCGTGATGGAGATAATGGCCCCACCAGCCCCCAGGATCTAGTCCTCTGTAGTGTCCCGGGACCACAGAGGGCCTCCTGGACCTTCGGGACCCTCTACATTGTCACACACACATTTATATTCGGGTTCGGGTCCCAGGTGGGTGACCTGCTCACATAAGCAGAGACCAGCCACCTTGACTCCCGGCCACTTCCCCTTCAGCATCCCCTGCTGTGTATTTGCCTTTTTGGTACCCCCCCCCCCCCCCCGGGCAACAGGTGCAGTGGAAGTCCAATGGCTTGCAAGTCTGTGCCTCAGGGGGCGCTGGGGAGCAGGGGTGAGGGTGGGGGTGGCCCCCAGGGTGAGAGTGGCCTGCGTCCCTGCGTCCCCCTCAGCCTCCCTTCGTTTGGCAGCTCCTGCTTGTTTCTGTCCGGCTGCTCCTTCTCTGTTCCCGCCTCATGTGCGGAGATGGTTGGGAGGGTGGGTGGCCGGACGCTGGCTTTGGAGCGAGGCCCAGGGGCTGCTCAGGTGCTCTTCTGACTCAGCTCTCTGTTTGCTGCTGATGTGTTTGCTGTGCGCTTCCAGAAGGCCCTCGTGGTCCACCCAGATGGGACCAGCGGCGTGGCAATCCCCGCGGAGCCAGGCTGGGATCCACGCGCAGCCGCTGCGTGCAGTCTCCCTCCTTGGAATGGGGGCTCCGGAGCTGTAGGGCACAGAGACACCTGCTCCCTGCTTCCCCTCGGCCCCGGATTCTCCCCAGTGAACACCTTCCGTCGCCTTATTCTCTCCTCTGCACCGTTCAGGTTGCAAGATGGGAACACAGAACGCGCAAGCTGAGCAAGGCCTTCCGATCCCCCTACCTGGCCTGCTACTCCCTGGGCGCCGCCATCTTGCTCCTGAACGTCCTGCGCTCACACTGGTAAGCACCCCCCGGCCGACCGACCGGAAGTCCATCTGCACTGGGGGCATCCACGGCACCTGAGGGGGCAGCCCCCGCAGGCCGTGTCACGGGGGTCCATGCGGATGAATGCAGTCGCCCCTTCCTCTCCGGGCCAGCGGACTCCCATCAACCACGGAGTCCTCGGCCGCTCCTGGCCACACGCCTGGGGTGCAGGCGTGGAGGAGCCGCCTGGATGAGGCCGGGTGGTCCCCAGTCTCAAATGTGTAGACAAAGCTGCTGCAGAAGTCCCCTCCAGGAAGTGCCAAGGCAGAGGGCAGGTGACGCTTGGGGACGGGGCCTCACGTGGGCTCGGGCTGGTTTTGGCAAGCTGCTCAGCTCGTGTCTGGGCCTGACGGGTTACCTTCCTGCCAGGTGACCTCATTCCAGATGATGAAGCGCTGCCCTTGGGCCTGGTGGCAGGCGCTGGTGCCCAGGCACGAGTTGAGGTGCCCTGACTTGACGAGTCGAGGCGGCGGGGCTGGAAGGGCAGTGACAGCTTTGTCAGATGCTGCCCAGCCCGGCCATCCCTGAGCCCGGGGTGCCACCTCCTCTGTTCTGTGAGCACCACGGTGCGTACCACACTAGCTCGTGGACTAAACGTGGCCCGTGCAGTGCTGTGAAAAATGAGCGACGGCACAGGAGAATCGCAAGGTCTGATTTGTGACAGATTAGAAGCCCTGGTGGCCCTGGACCCCACATGGGAGTGATCTCACATACCCTCCCTTCCCCTGGGGGCCCTGGGCTGCCATCGGCTGGGCCACAGTCAGTAGCACGTCTGAGCCCATACTGGGAGAGGAGGCCCCTTCTGGCAGATGGGGGGCTTGCTTCTCCGTGCGTCCTGGCCCAGGGCTGTCCTCTAGACCCCAGGCACACAGTCCCCGGGCTGGTCGCTGTGGTGAGGCCCAGGAAGGGTAGAGCGCTGGAGACAACTTGCCCTTGTCCTCACCCCCTGGTCTCGGTGCCTGCTGGGTCCCCACCAGGCCCTGCACGCAGCCAAGGGAGGGCTTGGGCCCCACAGCCCTCAGCCCACAGGCCACAGGAAGCAGATCAGACCAGGTGTCCAGAAGCATCGGTCAGTGCCCCGAAGTGCTGTCATCGCCAACACCAGGCGCGGGCAGTCATGACCTCCCAGCCCTTTGGGGATGGGTACTTGGGCCCGCGCATCAGATGGGGGCCAAGGCTGGTGAGCGGCTGAGCCAGCTGACTCCGATGTGCTGGCCCTTCTCAGGGAGCTCGTTTCTGCCTCGGTGCTGAGCGCCCGTCTCCCTGCCCACCTTGGTAACGGAGTCTCCATCTTCCTCTTGTGCTAACCTCCTTCACTGTGTAGCTGAGATGGGTGTCACTTTGGGTTCCCACTTGGAGGGATGCTGCAGGAGGGGGAAGAAGGGGGAGGGGAAGGGGTGTGAGGGAAGGGAGAGGCAGGGGTATGGGGGAAAGAAGGGGGAGGGGAAGGGGTGTGGGGGAAGGGAGAGGCAGGGTTATGGGAGGGGAAGGGGTATGGGGGAAGGGGGGGAGGGGAAGGGGTGTGGGGGAAGGGAGGGGAAGGGGTGTGGGGGAAGGGAGGGGAAGGGGTGTGGGGGAAGGGAAGGGAGGGGGTGTAGGGGAAGGTGCCCTCCCAGCACAGAAGCCGTGCAGGCTCCTGCGGGCCCTTTGCATCTGCTCTGGTTACGAGACCTGCCCTCCCGGATGGCTGCTGGACATATTGGGGCCTCTCATTAGCCCTCCTCCCCTGTGGGGTCCCTCCGTCAATTACTTGGAAAACCCACTGGCAGGGAGACCTGAACAGGCTCCTTCCTCGTTCCACAGCCCCGCTCCTGGCCCACAGTCCAGCCTCGTTAGCTACTCTCCAGCTTAACTGGTTTTTCCCTTTGTTTTCTTTCCTGAGGACCCTTTGCCCAGAGGGTCTGCAGACACCCTCACCCTTCAGAATGAATGAATGAATGAATGACTCCCATACCCTCCCAGCTAGTTGTTGAACTAGTTCAGGGGCTGGCAGACGACTCCCCAAAGGCCCAAACCCACTAGCCGCCTGACTTTTTAATGTCTCATGAGATCCTCTGGGAAGCTCACGTAAGTGGAATCAGACAGTGTTTGTTCTTTTGTGTCTGGCTTATTTCATTTAGTGCAATATCCTCAAGGTTCATCCTCGTTGGAACATGTGTCAGAATCTGCTTTGTAATGCTAAGTGGAATGAGCTGGACACAAGGACTCACAGTGCCCGATTCCACTTAAAAATATCAGAGACTAGATCTGGGGTAGCCAGGGCCAGGGAGTGGGGGAAAGAGGGAGATGCTGGTCAAAGGGTACAAGCTTCCAGGTAGAAGCTCGAATGCCCAGCGCGGGGACTATATGGTTAATACTGTCTCGTATACTTGAAAGGTACTAAGAGAGAAGGTCTTAGAAATTCTCCCCATGCACGTGTGCGCACACGGGCACACACACGTACACACACGGGCACACACATGTACACACAAATGATGACTGTGTGAGGCAATGAAGGTGTAACCCGCCTTACTTTGCTAATCATTTTGTAATAGATACGTACATCACGTCATCACGCTGTTTGCCTTAACCTCACACATGGAATGTGTCAGTTCCATCTCAGTAAAAAATGAAAGTATTTTGAATTTTTTTAAAAGAATGTCCTTCCTTGTTAAAACTGAGTAATATTCTCTTATAAGCAAATACTGCGTTTTGTTTACCCACATATCTGAGTGTGGACTGTTGGGCCATTGTCACCTGTCGACTCCTGTACTCATGCTGCTGGGGACTTGGGTGAGCCCTGCCCTTGATCCTTCCTGGTCTTCTTCCCTAGAAGATCACATGATAGTTCCACAGGTAGCTTTTTGAGGGGAACTGCCATACCGTTTCTCCTGTTTGACCTTCCCGCCAGCCTTGCTCGAGCATTCTAGTTTCTCCACACCCTCGCCACTGCTTGCTATTATTATTTCTTGATAACGGCCATCTCTTTTTTAAAATGTTTGTTAACTTATTTTTGAGAGAGAGAGAGAGAGAGAGAGAAAGAGAGAGAGAGAGCACGCACAAGTGGGGGAGGGGCAGAGAGAGAAGAAGACACAGAATCTGAAGCAGGATCCAGGCTCTGAGCTGTCAGCACAGAGCCCCACGTGGGGCTCGACCCCACAAACTGTGAGATTACGACCTGAGCTGAAGTCGGACAGTTAACCCACTGAGCCTCCCAGGCGCCCCGATAATGGCCATCCTTAAAGGCGTGACCTGTTTTGATCTGCGTTCCCCTGAGCGTTTTTTTCACATGCTTATTGGCCATCTGTCTATCTTCCTTTGAGAAATGTCTATCAAGCCCTTTGCTCATTTTAAAGTCAGATTGTTTTGTGTGTTTGTTGCTGTTGACTTGTATACACAGCTGCATTTTCTTTGTCTTTTTTCTTTTTTAAAATTTTTAATATTTTATTTATTTTTGAGAGAGAGATAGAGACAGTGTGAGCAGGGGAGGGGCAGAGAGAGAGAGGGAGACACAGAACTAGAAGCAGGCTCCAGGCTCTGAGCTGGCAGTCAGCACAGAGCCCGACACAGGGCCCAAACCCACAAACTGTGAGATCATGACCTGAGCTAAAGTCAGACGCTTAACCGACTGAGCCACCCAGGCGCCCCTACACAGCTGCATTTTAAATGGTTCTATAAGAGTCTATGTGATATCCCAGGTTTTGCCTCTCAGTCTACAAAGCTGAAAACATTTATTATCTGGCTTTCTGTGAAAAAGTTTGTCAGCCTCGGGACTAGCTGGTGACTAAGGTCCCTTCTAACTCAGTCAGATCCATAATTTTATGATTTTCTATGTCAGGTGTCAGCAAACTGTTTCTGTAAGGGCCAGATACTAAGTATTTTTGACTCAGAGGGCCATGTAGTCTCTGTTGTAACAACAGCTCGTTAGAATGTAAAGAGTTGAATGTGACTGAGTTCCAATAAAACTTTATTTACAAGCACACCCAGCAGGGCCAGCCCCTGCTCTCCATGAAAGGAAAGTCCCACTGCTGCCTTTGAACATCCAGGTCCACCTGGAGGATGATGTCCAGGACCCTGGGACGGAGTGTGAGTCAGAGTAGCCTGGGGGAGGGGCGGGTGCCCTGGGTCGGCCTCAGCCGTGCTCCCGATGGGCTGGCCTTCAACATGTCCCTCAGGCTCCCTTGGTCTCCTGTCTGAAATGGAGTAGGAGTCCTCGATCCTCTCCCAGGAGGGGCCATCGGTCCTCACTGACCAGCTCCTCGCTGAGTGTGTGGCCAAGCAGGGGATCCCGGGCCGAGCAGACTCCACCCTGCCTTGGGGCCCATCTTACAGCAGCATGGGTGGGGCAGTGACCTTCACACTCCATCCTAGGGAGCCCGTAGGAAGTGGGTGATGGAGGGTCTGCAATGCCTGGATTGGGTACCTTCTGCACAGGAAGCCAGCAGGAGGCAAAAGTTAGAGGGCCCCGGTCCCTGGTCCCCTGACAGGGGTGCCTCCTTCCTGCAGGCCCCCAGCCCAGCATTATGGGTTCCTAGGAGACCAAGCAGACAGGCCCACCGGCAGCCCAGCTTCAGACGTGTAGACACCGGCAAAGACCTGTCTGGCTTCTTGCATCCGGGGCCTGGGAGAGCTGGGAGGAAGTCCCACCATGTCCAGCTGCCTACAGGTGACAGCTCCTCTGGTCTTCCTTCTCGCTAGCCTCTCGGTATTGGCGTTGGTGTGGCTTGGTGTCTGCCTTCCGGGCCATGACTTTTCTCTTGGCTGGACTGGCAGCCACCCCAGGAAGGTTCTGGGAGGAGAGGGAGGATGCTCACAGGCAGGACTGGCTTCTGTCCACCTTCCCGATCAGCAGGCTTGGACCCTCCCCTCCGGCTCTTTTCCCTCTTGCCCTTCCCTCTGCCATGTTGGTGATCGGGTGGGTGGGGCTTCCAGAAAGATGTGTGAGAATCCTGGCAAGACTAGCCCCAGCCTGTAGCCGACAGGCCCCCACACAATAG